AGGAACGCACTTTCCTGCTGTCCATAATCTAGAATGAATTATATTGTCTGCTCAAAAATAATTGAAGCTATATATCCCTCTTATAGATATTATATAAGGAATGCACTTTCATGCTGTCCATAATCTAGAATGAATGATATTGTCTGTTCAAAAATAATTGAAGCTATATATCCCTCTTATATATTTTATTATATAAGGAACGCACTTTCCTGCTGTCCATAATCTAGAATGAATTATATTGTCTGCTCAAAAATAATTGAAGCTATATATCCCTCTTATATATTTTATTATATAAGGAACGCACTTTCCTGCTGTCCATAATCTAGAATGAATTATATTGTCTGCTCAAAAATAATTGAAGCTATATATCCCTCTTATAGATATTATATAAGGAATGCACTTTCATGCTGTCCATAATCTAGAATGAATGATATTGTCTGTTCAAAAATAATTGAAGCTATATATCCCTCTTATATATTTTATTATATAAGGAACGCACTTTCCTGCTGTCCATAATCTAGAATGAATTATATTGTCTGCTCAAAAATAATTGAAGCTATATATCCCTCTTATATATTTTATTATATAAGGAACGCACTTTCCTGCTGTCCATAATCTAGAATGAATTATATTGTCTGCTCAAAAATAATTGAAGCTATATATCCCTCTTATAGATATTATATAAGGAATGCACTTTCATGCTGTCCATAATCTAGAATGAATGATATTGTCTGTTCAAAAATAATTGAAGCTATATATCCCTCTTATATATTTTATTATATAAGGAACGCACTTTCCTGCTGTCCATAATCTAGAATGAATTATATTGTCTGCTCAAAAATAATTGAAGCTATATATCCCTCTTATATATTTTATTATATAAGGAACGCACTTTCCTGCTGTCCATAATCTAGAATGAATTATATTGTCTGCTCAAAAATAATTGAAGCTATATATCCCTCTTATAGATATTATATAAGGAATGCACTTTCATGCTGTCCATAATCTAGAATGAATGATATTGTCTGTTCAAAAATAATTGAAGCTATATATCCCTCTTATATATTTTATTATATAAGGAACGCACTTTCCTGCTGTCCATAATCTAGAATGAATTATATTGTCTGCTCAAAAATAATTGAAGCTATATATCCCTCTTATATATTTTATTATATAAGGAACGCACTTTCCTGCTGTCCATAATCTAGAATGAATTATATTGTCTGCTCAAAAATAATTGAAGCTATATATCCCTCTTATAGATATTATATAAGGAATGCACTTTCATGCTGTCCATAATCTAGAATGAATGATATTGTCTGTTCAAAAATAATTGAAGCTATATATCCCTCTTATATATTTTATTATATAAGGAACGCACTTTCCTGCTGTCCATAATCTAGAATGAATTATATTGTCTGCTCAAAAATAATTGAAGCTATATATCCCTCTTATATATTTTATTATATAAGGAACGCACTTTCCTGCTGTCCATAATCTAGAATGAATTATATTGTCTGCTCAAAAATAATTGAAGCTATATATCCCTCTTATAGATATTATATAAGGAATGCACTTTCATGCTGTCCATAATCTAGAATGAATGATATTGTCTGTTCAAAAATAATTGAAGCTATATATCCCTCTTATATATTTTATTATATAAGGAACGCACTTTCCTGCTGTCCATAATCTAGAATGAATTATATTGTCTGCTCAAAAATAATTGAAGCTATATATCCCTCTTATATATTTTATTATATAAGGAACGCACTTTCCTGCTGTCCATAATCTAGAATGAATTATATTGTCTGCTCAAAAATAATTGAAGCTATATATCCCTCTTATAGATATTATATAAGGAATGCACTTTCATGCTGTCCATAATCTAGAATGAATGATATTGTCTGTTCAAAAATAATTGAAGCTATATATCCCTCTTATATATTTTATTATATAAGGAACGCACTTTCCTGCTGTCCATAATCTAGAATGAATTATATTGTCTGCTCAAAAATAATTGAAGCTATATATCCCTCTTATATATTTTATTATATAAGGAACGCACTTTCCTGCTGTCCATAATCTAGAATGAATTATATTGTCTGCTCAAAAATAATTGAAGCTATATATCCCTCTTATAGATATTATATAAGGAATGCACTTTCATGCTGTCCATAATCTAGAATGAATGATATTGTCTGTTCAAAAATAATTGAAGCTATATATCCCTCTTATATATTTTATTATATAAGGAACGCACTTTCCTGCTGTCCATAATCTAGAATGAATTATATTGTCTGCTCAAAAATAATTGAAGCTATATATCCCTCTTATATATTTTATTATATAAGGAACGCACTTTCCTGCTGTCCATAATCTAGAATGAATTATATTGTCTGCTCAAAAATAATTGAAGCTATATATCCCTCTTATAGATATTATATAAGGAATGCACTTTCATGCTGTCCATAATCTAGAATGAATGATATTGTCTGTTCAAAAATAATTGAAGCTATATATCCCTCTTATATATTTTATTATATAAGGAACGCACTTTCCTGCTGTCCATAATCTAGAATGAATTATATTGTCTGCTCAAAAATAATTGAAGCTATATATCCCTCTTATATATTTTATTATATAAGGAACGCACTTTCCTGCTGTCCATAATCTAGAATGAATTATATTGTCTGCTCAAAAATAATTGAAGCTATATATCCCTCTTATAGATATTATATAAGGAATGCACTTTCATGCTGTCCATAATCTAGAATGAATGATATTGTCTGTTCAAAAATAATTGAAGCTATATATCCCTCTTATATATTTTATTATATAAGGAACGCACTTTCCTGCTGTCCATAATCTAGAATGAATTATATTGTCTGCTCAAAAATAATTGAAGCTATATATCCCTCTTATATATTTTATTATATAAGGAACGCACTTTCCTGCTGTCCATAATCTAGAATGAATTATATTGTCTGCTCAAAAATAATTGAAGCTATATATCCCTCTTATAGATATTATATAAGGAATGCACTTTCATGCTGTCCATAATCTAGAATGAATGATATTGTCTGTTCAAAAATAATTGAAGCTATATATCCCTCTTATATATTTTATTATATAAGGAACGCACTTTCCTGCTGTCCATAATCTAGAATGAATTATATTGTCTGCTCAAAAATAATTGAAGCTATATATCCCTCTTATATATTTTATTATATAAGGAACGCACTTTCCTGCTGTCCATAATCTAGAATGAATTATATTGTCTGCTCAAAAATAATTGAAGCTATATATCCCTCTTATAGATATTATATAAGGAATGCACTTTCATGCTGTCCATAATCTAGAATGAATGATATTGTCTGTTCAAAAATAATTGAAGCTATATATCCCTCTTATAGATATTATATAAGGAATGCACTTTCATGCTGTCCATAATCTAGAATGAATGATATTGTCTGTTCAAAAATAATTGAAGCTATATATCCCTCTTATATATTTTATTATATAAGGAACGCACTTTCCTGCTGTCCATAATCTAGAATGAATTATATTGTCTGCTCAAAAATAATTGAAGCTATATATCCCTCTTATAGATATTATATAAGGAATGCACTTTCATGCTGTCCATAATCTAGAATGAATGATATTGTCTGTTCAAAAATAATTGAAGCTATATATCCCTCTTATAGATATTATATAAGGAATGCACTTTCATGCTGTCCATAATCTAGAATGAATGATATTGTCTGTTCAAAAATAATTGAAGCTATATATCCCTCTTATAGATATTATATAAGGAATGCACTTTCATGCTGTCCATAATCTAGAATGAATGATATTGTCTGTTCAAAAATAATTGAAGCTATATATCCCTCTTATATATATTATCTAAGGAATGCACTTTCATGCTGTCCATAATCTAGAATGAATGATATTGTCTGTTCAAAAATAATTGAAGCTATATATCCCTCTTATATATATTATCTAAGGAATGCACTTTCATGCTGTCCATAATCTAGAATGAATGATATTGTCTGTTCAAAAATAATTGAAGCTATATATCCCTCTTATATATATTATCTAAGGAATGCACTTTCATGCTGTCCATAATCTAGAATGAATGATATTGTCTGTTCAAAAATAATTGAAGCTATATATCCCTCTTATATATATTATCTAAGGAATGCACTTTCATGCTGTCCATAATCTAGAATGAATGATATTGTCTGTTCAAAAATAATTGAAGCTATATATCCCTCTTATATATATTATCTAAGGAATGCACTTTCATGCTGTCCATAATCTAGAATGAATGATATTGTCTGTTCAAAAATAATTGAAGCTATATATCCCTCTTATATATATTATCTAAGGAATGCACTTTCATGCTGTCCATAATCTAGAATGAATGATATTGTCTGTTCAAAAATAATTGAAGCTATATATCCCTCTTATATATATTATCTAAGGAATGCACTTTCATGCTGTCCATAATCTAGAATGAATGATATTGTCTGTTCAAAAATAATTGAAGCTATATATCCCTCTTATATATATTATCTAAGGAATGCACTTTCATGCTGTCCATAATCTAGAATGAATGATATTGTCTGTTCAAAAATAATTGAAGCTATATATCCCTCTTATATATATTATCTAAGGAATGCACTTTCATGCTGTCCATAATCTAGAATGAATGATATTGTCTGTTCAAAAATAATTGAAGCTATATATCCCTCTTATATATACACATATATTTTTTTTTGATAAATAACCAAACTTTATTAAGAAGCATCAAGAAGATGCAAAGAATACAAAAACCGGCCACAAAAGCCCAACGAAACTAACAAATCAAATTCTCCACAGAATCTGTAAAAGCCAATACATCTGGATCCACTAATCCTGTCACCCAACTATACAGAACAGAAAGAAGACGCCTCTCTAACCAAGTGATGGAATGAGCGACCCCATGAAACACCCGCCTATTTCGCTCCAGCCAAATCAGCCAAAGTAAACAGTGCAAGGCAAGAATCCAAGCCTTTCGACGCTTCTTCCCCACCCTTCCCTCGACCTAACTCTGCAAAACTGCAAACAAAGACCCCGGTTGAATCCAAACCAACCCAAACATTACCACCACAAGCATCTAAAGACGAGAAGAGACCAAACAATGAATAAGCAAATGGTCAACCGATTCCGCAACTTGACCGCACAAACAACACCAATTCACCAAAATATGCCCATGACGAATCAAATTATCAATAGTCAAAATACCACCCAAACTCGCCGTCCACACAAAAAAGGAAACCTTGGATGGCGTGCCCGACACCCAAACACTCTTCCACGGATAGACGAAAGAGCCATCAACAACACACTTATCCTCAACAAGCGCCTCATAGAATGAAGACACCGTGAAAATACCTTTGGCCCTAGGACAAACCCAAACCAAAGTATCATTATCCGCCTGTCCAAGATGTAAACCATATAAAAAACAAAGGTGGTCCACTAATTGATCTAGCTCCTAGTCTTGGACATGACGACACAGCTGCACATTCCACACCCTGAACTGCCCCTTCCCAACCCTTATAGCACTAACCAACACCTCAGAATTCGCAGCAATAGCAAATATCAAAGGAAAGCGAAACTCTAAAGACAAGTCACCACACCACCTATACCGCCAAAATCGAACTCTATCCCCCACACCAATTTTGAACCTCACATGTCACCAAAACGCTTCCCGACCCAACCAAATCCCTTTCCATAACCCGCAACCATGAGAGTGACCCACCCGTCCCGAGCACCACATTCTCCTAACCACACCAAACTTAGTAACCACCACTCGCCTCCAAAGACACGCCCTCTCCTCCACAAAACGCCACAGCCACTTCCCTAACAAGGCCAAATTAAACAAGACCAACATCCGAACCCCTAAACCCTCTTGCTCCTTAGATCTACGGATCCAATCCCAAGACCCCAAATGGTAATGACCACCCTCACCCCCATCACCCCACAAAAAGTCCCTTTGCAATTTCTCAATTTGCCTTGCTACAGAGACCGGGATCACATTAACAGACATAAAATAGGTTGGGATACTTGACAGAACACTTTTAATCAATGTAAGCCGCCTACCCTTCGACAAATACTGACGTTGCCATCCTGCCAACCGATGACGCACCCGATCCACCACTCCTCCCAAATCCCTGTCGCTTTAAAGGAAGCCCCCAAAGGCAAACCCAAATATGTAACAGGTAACGATACCACTTTGCACCCCAACATGGCTGCCAACACCGAAGACCTCGCCACTTGCCCCACTGGAATCAATTCTGATTTTGCTAGATTAACCCGAAGCTCGGGCATTGCCTCAAAACACAATAACACGCATCTCAAATGTCCAATCTGGACCTCCTCCGCATCACAAAAAATAAGTGCATCATCTGCATAAAACAAATGAGACACCATCGCATTCCCCGGAGCCACTCCTACCTCAAATCCATTCAGCAAACCTGCTTGCACCGCCCTTGCCAACAAATGCCTCAAAGCCTTCATAACCTAAATAAACAACAGAGGAGATAAAGGATCACCCTGCCGCAGCCCGCGATGAGTGGGGAAAAATCCTACTGTGGAGCCATTAACCAAAACGGACATTCGCACAGTAAAATTACAAAACAGAATCCAATGCCGCCACTTCGCCCCAAAATGCATTCTCTCCAACAAATACATCAAAAAGTCCCAATTCACATTATCGTAGGCCTTCTCAATATCTAATTTACAAATAATCCCCTCTTTCCCTTAATGCAACCGCGAGTCCACACATTCATTCGCCACAAGAACCGCATCTAAAATTTGCCTACCCCCCCACAAAAGCATTCTGGGATTCCGATACCACCCCTACCAACACCTCGCACAAACGATTCGCCAAAACTTTAGCCAACACCTTATATACACTCCCTAGAAGACTAATAGGCCGGAAGTCTCTAATGTCCTTCGCCCCCCCCCCTTCTTGGGAATCAAGGCAAGAAATGTAGCATTAAGACTTTTCTCAAATTCGCCTGACTGATGAAATTGCTCAAACATAGCCAACACCTCCAACTTGACCACCCCCCAACAGTGTTGAAAAAATGAAATAGTAAACCCATCTGGACCAGGGCCCTTATCTCCAGGCATACTTTGCAAAGCCTTAAACACTTCATCTTCTGTAAATGGCCTTTCTAGAGAAGTACAGTCTGCATCTGACATAACATCAAAACTTACCCCATCCAAACCCGGATGCCACTCCTTCCTTACGCACCGAAACAAATGCTCATAAAAACCCACGATACTTGCCTTAACCTCTTCAGAGGACGAAAACTCCACCTCATTTACTCGAATCCGACCAATCTGATTAACCCGCCGGTGAGCATTTTCCATACGATGGAAAAACTTAGTGTTACGATCACCATCCTTCAACCACAAACATCTAGACTTCTGGCAGAAACTAATCTCCTCCATGTGTGCAATATGACCAAATTCCTGCCGAACTTCCTCCCGACGAACCACATCAGCCTCAGACAACCCCTCACCACCTTGTTTCTCCTCCAACACCTGCAAAGCTTCTAAGACTCTAGCCTTCTACCCCTTAAATTGTCCAAAAACCTCCCTATTCCAACTCTTCAAATCTAACTTAAGGAGCTTTAATTTTTTCGCTAACCGTGAACTAGGCAATCCGGCCACTTTGTAAGTCACCCACCAACCTTGAACCATCTCCACAAAGCCCTCAGATTGTAACAACATATTCTCAAACCGAAAAGGCGTCGGACCACTTCTAATACCACCACTATCCAACAAAATTGGCCAATGATCTGAAGTGGGACGTTGTAACCGCCGTTGAGTTGCCTGAAAGAAATGCTCCTCCCAATCCCCGGTGACCAAAAATCTATCAATTCGAGACATAGCGCCACCCCTAGACCAAGTGAAACCACTGCCTTGGAACAGAAAATCTACCAAATCCATCTCATCAATGAAAGAAGAAAAACGCCGCATAGGACCCCTCCCTGAGGAAGCCCCTAATTTCTCCTCCAGACAACGAACTACATTGAAATCCCCACCCACACACCACGGAACCCCCTCAACGATAAGCAATAGTCTGTAGCTCCTCCCAAAAGCTTGGTCTCTCTACTCCCCGAATTGGCCCATAAACCCCTGTGAAGGCCCATTTGAAATCATCATCTACACATCGAAAGAGGCAAGACAAAGAAAACCCTCCCAATTCTACATCCTCCTTTACCACCACTCGTTGATCCCAACACAAAAGAACACCCCCAACCACCCCCAGTGCAGGGAGGAAATCCCAATCCACAAATCTACCACCCCAAAGATCTCGAACTACCGCCCCCTCAATACAGTCCATCTTTGTTTCCTGAAGACAAACCACATCTGCCCGTGCACTTCTAAGAACGGATTTCACCAAAACCCGCTTCCTCTTGTCATTCAATCCTCGCACATTCCAAGATAAAAATTTTATTCGCATGATAACAACAATGGTTGATCACGTCCTTGTCTAGTACAACAAACTCCACCTCCCTGAGAATGATCATAATTAACAGTACATTCCAACCTTTGTAATTCCCTAGCATTTCTGTCATTATGGCTACCTGAATCCATCCCTTGCTGAAGAGGAACCTCACCTCTCCAAGATTCCTCTAATGCCGAAAATAATCTCAAAGCTTCTTCTTCATGGCCCTCAAAAGAAACCCCCAGTAATTGGCTTACCTCATTAATTCGAGATAAAACCCAAGCAGAAACCTCCTCCGACGCCGATATATCAACATCTGAACCAACAGTACCAATTTCAAGCTCAACCTCATCCGAACCAATCACCTCATTCACATCGTTTTCCACAGCCACCTCATCCGAACCTGCCTCAGGCCTAACCACCATGGCCAACTAATCCAGCATACTAGACCAGCGATGTTCAGCATAAACGGGTTGCTGCAGTTGCGATTTTGGAAACCCGGTTGTACTAAGCCGATACTCATGCCTCTCGACGCCCTCTGAAACTGAAGGGACAGCAGCGACACCAACAGACGACAGCAATGGACTAGTCGGCACCATCTCGGCATTACCCAATGAGTCACGCACCACCGGCGATGCCCCGACTGTGCTTGGACCGAAACCAACTTCAGCGAAGAGGTGTGCCGCTTCACTCGCTCTAAAGCTGAAGGAGCATCATCAACGCCACCAGATGACGGTGTAGGACCAGTGGTGACCATCTCGGCAATACCCATCGAGTCATGCACCACCGGCGAAGACCCATCATCTGGTCTTGTACCTAACCCAGCTTGCAGCAAAGAGAGAACCCGACTGAGAGTTGGGTTTGCATGGGCTTCCACAGAATGAGCCCCTTCATCCCTTCTTACACCATGAGATGGCCCACTTCAAGTATTGGCCCATTTCGGTTTGGGCAGACCTTCAATTCTAGTAGCTTGGACCTTAGCAAAGCCCAAATGACGTCTTTGGATACCCCGATTTAAATCCTGAACCAGGCCCATGTTGGGCAGTTCAAACAAATGACCCCGTCCACCCTTATCCCCATTTGTCCCTCTTATATATATTATATAAGGATTACACTTTCCTGCTGTCCATAATCTAGAATGAATGATATTGTCTGTTCAAAAATAATTGAAGCTATATATCCCTCTTATATATTTATTATATAAGGAATGCACTTTCCTACTGTCCATAATCTAGAAGAATGAATGATAGTCTATTCAAAAATAATTGAAGCTATTGTTAGATTCGTGAACTTTATCCCCAGTCTTATTTTAATAATTCAAGTATTTTATTTAGTAAGATTCATCATATATATTATTTGTAAAAAAATTAAATCAATTCGATAATTATAACATATTTAATATTTTGCGTTTGTCGCCCAAATAATAAATTGAATAAGCTAACTTTTTGTGTGGATAAAATACATAAAAAAATTTAAAAATTATTCGAATCACTAAAATAAGACCGGTGATAATCTTTACCGACATAAATAACAACCTTTGGTCCAAATTATAAACCAAAAGAAGAGTGTAGATCCTTTACTTGCACTCTCTCCTTACCTCCTTACTTACAATGCTGGAAATACACCTTAGGATGATCCAACAGTCCAAATCTACCTATTTTAAAAAAAAAAAAACCAATATTAAAAAAAAAAAACCAAATCTAGGCCGTTGGATCAGCCTAGAGTGCATTTCCACCATTACAAATAGAATGACAAGAAGAGAGTGCAAGTGGAGCATCCTAATTCGCAAAAGAAATCTAACTCGTTTTCCTTTTATGATGTGAACTCAAAAGCTGAAGTTGGGTGGGCTGTTATTTATGGCAAATTTATCATACAACTGTTTCAATTTTTGTTTTCCTTCTTATTTTATGTCTTCCTTTTCTCATTTGCTATGATTTCACAACACACTAGCTTCTCTCTCTCTATATATATGGGCAATGGCGAAATCAAGAATTCAATGAAGAGGGAGTATAAATTAATAACAATATTGATTTTGTTTTTTCTTCATAATAAACAATAATGAGATATTACTAAACGTAAATATTAAGAGTTTATTTGGATAGATGTGAATTTTAAATTAAAGGATTTGAGGTTAAATTTTATACAAATATTGTGGAGTACGTGGATTGAAAAATTAAAAAAAAAAAGATAAGTTCAGATAGTAATGATATATTGTAGTAGAGAAATTCTATAAAAATACATCACAAAAAAAAAAATATCTATCATATGTCGTAGTTATGATCTTTGTGGTCTTTAGTTAAGACACAGTATAGTGTTGGATATAATTTAGTTATAACTTCTTGTGGTTGTTATTTTGGTTATGATTGAAGAAGTCTTTGATTACATATCAAGTAATGATTCATAATTGAAAATCCTAAGTGATTCGTGATTAGATCAAGATTCAAATATTCCAAATTCCAAAAATTCAAAACACACAATCTAAATCAACAAGCACTTACGAAAGTGATTTAGATTGTTTGTTTTTCAGAATAAATAATAAATCGACACCAACGATTTTAACGTGGAAAAAACCACAATTGGACACCTCCAACTGTGATTAAAAATATAATTTGAAAAAGGGATATTATTATAATTTTATAAAAAAAATATATATTATATAATCTATATATATAAGGGTACCAATATAATTATCAAAACTTGAGAGTGGGCACCGGCCTCTCCTAGGCATACATTGCCTCCGCCCCTATATATGGGCAATTTTTAAGCGTGAAAATGTATATCATATTTATTTGTATAAATTTTCATAAATATACGTAAATATCTTATAAAATCGTATAAATTTTCACAATAATACATAAGTCAACTTATAAAAATTTTAGAAATCACAACTTATGTATATTTATAAAAATTTACGTAAGATAATTTATGCATATTTGTAATTTATACAAAACACCCTCAAACACTTCCCTATATATACACACATACGCAGAGAGAGAGAGAGAGAGAGAGAGAGAGAGTTGTTTAGTCTCATCTGAGAAAACATTTTGAGTTTGGGTTTGCAGGTAAAGCCATGGCGGATAATATTGTTTTAAAGACCATACTGAAAAGCGAGGCTCTTCAAAAGGTAAGCCCTTTTGTTGCCAACATATCTATGATAATGTGTTCTTAGGCACATTCTCTGGTTGAATTAAAAGTAGTACACCATCAAATTAAAAGTCTCTGTTGTCTGTTCAGCCTTTCTCCTCTCCTTTCATCTCATACATGCATTTGGATGTTTTCTCGTCTTTCTCCTTCTCTCAACAATTCTTACACACCTTTCTAAACTTTTTGTTTTTGTTTTTTGTGACAAATCTTCCTTTCACTCCATTAATTGTACTAGAGGATCTAGTTATGATACTTCGACCAGAGGATTTTTTAGAGTGACTTTTCGTATGGTTGATATTTTTTTTAGAAGTAAATATCAATCATGTTGTTTGATTCTGATTTTTAGAAAATAATTTTCAGAAAATAATTTTTTTTTATTTTTCGTATTTTAATGTTTTCAATGATTTTTTTTAATATTTTAAGCAATTTTTAAAAAAAATTTAGACACACCTAACATAAATACACTTAAAAAATATAATATTTGTGAAAAAAAAATCTTTAAAAAAATACACTAAATACCAAAAAATGCAAAAAAAAAATACGAAAATTCAATATATTTTTCATATTTTTATGTATTTATTAATTTTTTAAAGGGCATATTACACTAATAGTCCCTACAGTTTGGGGCTTGTGTTACTTTGATCCCTAACTTTTCAATTGTGACACATTTGATCATACGTTTTGAATTTTGTTGCAAATAAGGACAATTGAAGATGCCATTGCTTAATTTCAAGGGCAAAATCATCAATTTGATAAAATATAAACTAATTTGACAAAAATAAGTGTCAAAGAAATATTTTTAAATTTTTTAAAATTATTTCTACACACCAAAAATAAAATTATGTAAAATTGATAAATTTTTTGGACATTTATTTATTTATTTTTATCAAATTAATTGTTATTACGTGTTTAGATGCTGATCATGTAATGGGTAGTTGTTAAGATCTTAATGTGTAATCGATATATTTAATATATAAAATATTTGGGTAAACTACCAATAGGTCCTAATAGTTGGACTTAATTCCCATCAAGTCCTATTGAAAATAAATCTTGGAAAATTGTCTCCAAAAATAATTTTTTTATGACAAGTTTTTGTATATGTCACTAAAAATTGACAATTAGTGACTTCTTTTGTCATAATTTTTATAAATTGTCGCTAAAACTTACAATTAGTGACTTTTTTATGACAAATTTTTCTCATAGGACCTATTAAACAATAAGTCCACTTATTATGACCTACACGTAAGTACCCCAAAATGTTTTCAATTTTAGATTTTTTAATTTAATAGATTGGTTTAATAACGATATCAAAATTGTGGTCATATTTAAATTTTAAAAATTAGAAACTAATTTAATGAAAATAACCCATTACATAATCATCATCCAAACACATAATAAAAATTAATTTGGTAAAATAAAAAAAATGTCTAAAAGATTTATCAATTTTACATAATTTTATCTTTAATGGGTAGAAATAATTTTTTAAAATTCAAAAATATTTTTTTGACATTTATTTTTGTCAAATTAGTTTATATTTTATCAAATTGACGATTTTGCCCTCAAAATTAAGCAATGATATCTTCAATTGTCCTTATTTGGAACAATATTCAAAATTTAGGGTCAAATGTGTCACAATTGAAAAGTGAGGGACCAAAGTGACACATGTCCCAAACTATAGGGACCGTTAGTGTAATTCACAATTTTTTAAAATATTTTTTCACAAATATTTTACTGTTTAAATACATTTAAATAAGGTACATCTAAATTTTTTTTAAAAATTGCGTAAAATTTAAAAAATATTCACTAAAAACAAAAAACTCAATTTTCAGAAAACTGAAACCAAATATACTGAATACTATTATATCATTCATTAAAAAAAAAAAAAAAACTATTATACCATTAATTTTCGTAAAATTAAATTTCAACCATTCAAAAAATTATTATAAAATTACTTTAATAAAATCCACTCTATAAGATCCAAATTCAGCCAAGGTCTACTTCTTCATTCTTTTCTCTCTTTTTTTTTTAGATAATCAGTTATCAATGTTTCCGAGCCCTACGTGAAGTACCCCTCCATGCGGAGTTATTTTGGTGATTCAAATTATTCGACTTAGTTTATGGAGCAAATAATTTATATAAATGATTGAATTGAACATTGATATTCACATAATCATGTTTGTCTTTTTTATGAAATTGAGAATAGATACTAATTTTTTTTTGGTGATAAAATACTACATATAATCTTATTTCTTAGATGCTATTATATTTGAAATTGAGAAGACACTATTATAAAAAATGAATGACTATCATTGAAATTATATATGTTATTTATGTTTTTATTAAAAAAAATAAGAATTTAATATATAGTTACTAATGTCAAATTATCAAAATTTTTTATATGAATATTCTATTTAATGATTTTTAAAAAGTAAACAGTTTGAATCACCGAAATCGAATACAAAATAGACTTAAAAATTCAAATGCTCTCTTAAGTTGAGATGATAATTTTAACCGACTAGGCCTAGCCTAGTTGGCCATCATGTTTTTCTTAGGGCTTAGTCCCAAGGAGGTCATAGATTTAATTCTCCTTAGGGGGTTGAATGAAGGGAGTGCAAGCACTTATGTGCTTCGCCATGGATGGGGAGATTTTCTCCCATAGGTGATAATCTAACAATTAACATTTGCCGACCAAAAAAAAAAAAAAGTTGAGATGACAATTTGATAGAAGTCAAACTCAATGAAAAAATAAAATAAAATAAATAAAATTGTGTATAGTATCACTTTCTTTCTTAAGATAGAATTGTGACCAAATGAAATGGTTGGATTTGACTTTTTCATACAAATAATTTATTTTCCAAATTTAACAAGAACAAAATAATTAATTGTGCATAAAAAAAATAAAAACAATAATTGATTGATAACCAAAAGTGGATAGAAATAGAGTGAGAGTGGAGAAGTTATTGGTTGATCTTGAAGCACCGTCACGTGATGCTCCAATAGTATTGTAATTGATAGAAGGAATAAGACTCACGAATTTATATTGAGTGATTGAGGAACATGAAGGGATATGAATTTTTTCACAGTCTCCTCAATTAGACAATCTCAGTCCAATCAATCAAAATAATTTATACTTGAAAAATATTGATTGTTGAAAAGCAGTGGATGGGGGTACAGTCCAATCAATCAAAATATTTTTTATTATCAACTTTCGTAAAATATTTCACCAAATCTGATAATTTGATAATGGGTGGTGATAGAGAGCTCTAAATTGAACTTTACTTATGTGGCAATGAGAGAAAAAAAAAAGAAAAAAAAAGAAGAAGAAGGCCAAAGCATCACATCAATGGGTGAGCCCCACTCATTAAAGCTCCTTTAGGGCTCTCAAACATTTTTGTTTGATAATCTTCAAGCAAAAATTAACAAATAAATAATAAGAATAAAGGAGGAAGAAAAGAGGAAAAACAGTAATAAACAATTTATTTAAACTAAACAAACTTAAAGTATACCCTGGGCATTAAGCTCTGTTTCATATAGGATAAAATGCTACAATGGTCAAATTTGCACACTGAGAGGGTAATTTTTGGGAAAGAATTGGGCCGAGCTGTGAGTTGGGCCCTGCGGCCCAAAGTGTGAAGGAATCGGTAAGAAGCCGTAATGTTATTTCGGCCCGGTAGAGGTATAGGTACTCCGGCCCAGGAGAAGTGAAGTTATTCCGGCCCAGGAGAGGTGCGGTTACTCCGGTTCAAGAATGTGCAAAGCAACTCCGGTCCGGTGGCAGTTTGAAGTGAGTCCGGCCTTGCATTTAGTCCGGTGAAAAAAAAAAAAAAAAAAAAAAAAAAAAAAAAAAGCCAAAGCATCACATCAATGGGTGAGCCACACTCATTAAAGCTCCTTTAGGGCTCTCAAACATTTTTGTTCGATAATCTTCAAGCAAAAATTAACAAATAAATAATAAGAATAAAGGAGGAAGAAAAGAGGAAAAAGAGTAATAAACAATTTATTGAAACTAAACAAACTTAAAGTATACCCTGGGCATTAAGCTCTGTTTCATATAGGATAAAATGCTACAATGGTCAAATTTGCACACCATAAAATATTTTGTTATCTATACATATATCATCAACGTATTATATGGCCCTAGTTTTCATATATGTTACTAACACAATGGTAACACATAAGGTGGAAAGCACTTTATTGTATATAAATGTGGTAATTGTAGCATTATTGATAGGATAAATTACATTTTGACTCCCTTAGTAAATACACTGCCCCCTTATGTTTTAGAGTTTTTCAATTTTGGCCTTTAAAGTTTTTTTTCCCACTTTCCTTACCATCTTAATTTTTCTCAATTTAATCCAACAATTAATGTTAGTCCAAAATTGGATGAAGAATGTTACGTCACCAACTTTGTAGGACCGAGGATGTAGCTTAAATAGTCTTGAGGACCCGTTTTCGCTCATTTAAACAAATTTGACCATTGTAGCATTATTGTGTAAAGTATACCTTTGATTTGTCTAAATGAGAGAATCAAACTATACTGGTGGTGTCAATATTTTGAATAGGAAAACTGAGTTTATAACTTTGTATTTTCATTATATTGTTAATTGATTGTTCATTAAAAACATGAAATTTCAAAATGTGACCAAACTGCCACAATGCATAACGGTTTGGCGCGGTTTACAATGAGGAATGGTATGTTTTGATTATTGCTAAATACAAATGTAGAAAAAAAATTTGGTCCCAAATTCTTTCTAAAACCTGACCGAAGCAAACAATATATACACTCTTACTGCCAAACAATATGTTTTCCTTTTTCATATATTGTTGAGTTTTTGCTTTGATACTTTGTGCACTTGTCCCCCCAGTTGATTGATGTTTGTCTTAGTATACTATGTACATTGATTCTCATCAATGAAGTTTTTATTTGTTCATCAAAAAAATAAACTTGTTTTAGATGTGGGAAACACCATTTTATGGATTTATATCAATCATTTTGCTTATTGATTCAATTTTGGTTAAGTAGTACATTTTGGATACCAGTGCATACCCAAGAGAACATGAGCAGCTCAAGAGGCTAAGAGATGCAACATTCAAGAAATATGGCGACAGGTTAGGGACTTGCTCACATATGGTTGACAATATTAATAAACTCAAACATCATTTTAAGCAACCTGAAATATATTTTTATAATTAAATTATTGGACCTAGCTTCTATCTAGTCAAAATCATGGACTAGAGGGTGTTGTCCGGATCTATGGAGCCAACCATGGGTTTTGTTTCGATAATTCAAACCGTTCATTTTGTAAAGTCCTTTGTGTATATCATTCACAAAATAATTTAGGTTAATTTGATAATCATAACCTATTCAATTTATCGCATTTATTAAATCGACTTATCTTTTTTGTTTTATTTTTTTGTAAATGATTTACACAAGGAACTCCATAAAATGAATTGTTCGGATCATCGTAATGAAATCCGTGATGATCTCCACAAGCCTGGATAGTACCATACAGTCTAACTCATGGACTGAAAAAGATTTTTTGTTTTTTTTCTAGTCGGCCTAGTTAACTTGTTACTACAAGTTTTGGCCACAAAGCACTACTACTTTTGAATGGTCTTCATTCCAAGTAGTGGCCAATGAAACATTAAAAAAAAAATGTTTTCAGAATTTTGTTTATTCACAACTTATTTAGTTAATCTTTTTTTTTTATTTTATTTTTAAAGTATAACAAAATTGCAATTTGAATTGTAGAGCGGAGATAAGTGTGCCCCCCTGATGAAGGATTGTTCTTGTCCATGCTTTTGAAATTAATGAATGCGAAGAAGACATTGGAGATTGGTGTTTTCACTGGCTATTCTCTTCTTACCACTGCCCTTGCTTTACCACATGATGGCCAGGTTTGTAACTCCCTTTTAAATTGTAATCAAATTTAAATCAAGTCCAAAAGAGTTTGTTAAAAATTTGCTTTTTAACATTTTTAAATCAACAAGTTGTCATCCATGCATTTCATCTGAAAATGGCATGGTGGAGTTATTATCATAACCACGTAAAATATTAAAATTATCTTAACCTTTCAAACCCCTTTCTTGTGAGCAGAATGGAATACTCGTGCCCATGTTTGTTTCAAACTTTTTTGTTTTTGTTTTTGTTTTTGTTTACATTTGCTTTTTTGTGGATCTATTTTTAGTCAATAAACTATATTTTTAGCCAAGTTACAAAGGATGACTTAGATTACAAGGTGATGTGGGTAGGCCCATAAAGGCCATAACCCACTATGAACAACCCAAGCCTACCACTTAGGGCCTAATACATAACCCAACTGATAAGGCCCAACACAGCTGGAAGTCAACATGACATGAAGGACTAATGATATTCAGACACGTGGCAGGCAAAGGGCAAGCCACATCAGCAGACAAAGATCTGCAAAGTTATTGCCACTGCACATCGCCATTAACGCAGCCCCTTACAGCATTTATTACGACAACACCTCTCCGCCGGGACAGCACGCCCTCACCCTGAACAAGGTGAGCTACAGCATAGACTTTTGGCCAAGGTGACAGGTCGGAAGGGACAACGAAATGATTACCAAAGGATATAAGCAGACGTTGAAGACAAGAAGAAGGTTAAGCTTTTCTATCTCTATTCTATCTCTATACTCCACTTCTCTCTCTAACTTGCTCGTCGGAGGGTTCGCTGGGGGACGCCCCGTTCCCTGTTGAACTCTTATGCAGGTCTTCAGGTGGGCTTGGTCATTCGGATATAGGCTTAAGGAGCGTGGATCAGTCTGACCCGTTCTACCATCACGAACTGTATCATCAGTTGGCACCGTCTGTGGGAACGTTTTGCTCCACGCGCCAGTTGTGCTCACTGTCCCCGGAGACCCTGTTCCAATAACCCTTTCCTGCTACCCATCAAAGTGTATGGTCATGACTAGATCCATGGCTTCTCACCAAAATGCTGCCGACCATCAAGTCGACCCCCCCAATCCAAACAACCCACCACATTATTTCATCGAGATTACCAACAGCATTAACCGCATGGCCGAGCAAAACCAAGCCCTGATAAATGCCCTACTCCAAAGAAACCTTCCTATGCCTCCTCCACCACCTCCAGATATTCCGCCCAACCAAGAACGAGCCCTGAGCCATACTATCCCGCATCCCTATCCACCCAACTTGGAAGGCTTGCAACCTCCTCCTCCTAATATAAATCCACCACCCCGACCTCCGCATCCATCGGTCCTGGCACCAGCCCCTGAAGGGGAAGCTAGTAGCGTCCAACCCCCGCTGCCTTCCGGTGGTGATAACATCCCTCTCTGGGATGCAGAACTCCGAGCCATGAAGTTCCAACTCCAAGGGGTTATGCAGAACATCCAACATAAACCCTCTACCACAGCAAACTCACCATTTGTTGCCTCAATCCGGGACAAGCCTCTACCCCCCAAGTTCAAAATGCCCACCATCGACTCTTTTGACGGTACGACAGACCCAGTCGACCATCTGGAGACCTACAGAACCCTTATGATCCTCCATGCATTCCCTTACGAGATCATGTGTTGAGCTTTCCCCGTGACACTAAAGAGGTCAGCTCGGCTATGGTTTAGCCAGTTATTAGCAGACTCTGTCTCCACTTTCCAGCATCTCAGTGACTCCTTCATCAGCCATTTTATTGGAGCCCAGCGCCAATGCCGTCCGGCAACCCAACTCCTCAACATCCGCCAGATCGAGGGGGAGTCCCTGCGCAGTTTCGTTACCCGCTTCAACACCAAAGCCTTGCAGGTGGAGGAAAACAATGATAAGGTCATCCTTACGGCTTTCATAGCCAGACTACAGTCGTCTGATTTCCTCTTCTCCCTCTCTAAAAACCCCTCCATGGCAGCCCTACTCTCCAAAACCCAAAAATACATGAACGCAGAAGATTCCCTAGCCGCTCGCTAAGACCCTACAACAAAAAACCCGACCTCCCGAGAAAAGCGAAAAGACTCAGAAGCCAGAAACACCCAGTACAATAATCAAACACCGCATTATACCGACCGACCCCCCCGAGCCGACCGGTCGGCACCAGCCCGACCGCCCGGCCGGTTCGAGTGATACACACCCCTTAATTCCCCCATGGAACAAGTCCTCAATCAAAACTAGCGGGATTACCCCCTCAAATGGCCCCAACCATCACGAACCCCCTCCAATCGGAAAGACTAGTCCAAATATTGCCGTTTTCACCAAGACCACGACCATAATACCGATGACTGTGTCAACCTCAAAGATTAGGTCGAGACCTTAATATGTCAGGGACGTCTTAGCCGGTTCATGGATACCCGCCCTCAGCAGAGGCAAAGGACTGAGCCCGTCAGAAACAACCGCCGGCGCACCCCTCCCCCGGCAGCCAGCCCAACCTAACCAAGGCCATGATCGCCCTCTACAGCAACCTTGGGCACAAGGCAATCCCGCCCCACCTGTTGGAGAAATCAGAGTTATTTCCGGCGGGCTTGCGTGTGGAGGACCATCCCGCTCGGCTCAGCAGGCAGAACTCAGGAAAATAAGGCAAGGCTCAGACAAAGAAGTTGCCACATTGGATCGACCCCCCAGACACCCCAGGCAGTGGACCGAGCCTATCACCTTTACGGACGCCGACAGCACAGGCATCCGTTATCCTCATGACAACTCTCTCTCATTTCTGCCCTCCTCTCCAATTACAAGGTCAGACGAGTTCTCGTCGACAGCGACAGTTTTTCAGACATCATCTTCCTCAACTGCTTCCGCCAGCTCAAGATTAGGAAAGAAAGTCTATCTCTCCTCCAAACCCCTTTGGTCGATTTCACTGGCGACCGGGTGACCTCCATCGGCTCCATCGATCTTCCTATCACAATTGGCGAGTACCCCAGGCAGACCACAAAGCTGCTCACCTTCCTCGTTGTCGACTGCCCCTCTGCTTACAACATCATCCTTGGCTGTACCGCCTTAAATGCCTTCCAAGCCATCACCTCCACCTTCCATCTTGCCGTCAAGTTCCCCACCGATCTAAGGGTCGGCACAGTCAGGGGAGAACAGACTGTAGCCAGAGAATGCTATGTGGCCTCACTTAAAGAAGTTAAGCTTAAGGAAACCATGATCATTGAAGGACTTGACATCAGGGACGAGGATGAGCTGGTCAGGGGGGAACCAGTGGAAGAGCTTATCGAGGTCTCCATCGACCCCACCAACCCGGCAAAAACTGCCAAGATTGGTAGCCAACTGTCCCCCCAAGCCAAGACAGACTTCACCGCCCTCCTGATTGAGCACAACGATGTGTTTGCCTGGACTCACTCCGATATGCCGGGTATTGATCCCTCCTTCATCAGCCACCGTCTCAGTGTTGAGCCCCATTTCTGACCTATCCTCCAGAAGCAGCGCGTCTTTCACCCGGAACGCAATAACCTTATTGCTTCTGAAGTAGACAAACTCCTTGAGGCACAGTTTATCACCAATGTGGATTACCCCAGATGGCTATCGAGTGTGGTTCTGGTTCGCAAAAACAATGGTAAATGGCGACTCTGTGTTGACTACTCTGACCTCAACCGAGCTTGCCCCAAGGACAGGTACCCTCTGCCTTGCATAGATCCGCTGGTCGACGCCATAGCCGGTCATCAAATGCTCAGTTTCGTGGATGCTTTCTCTGGGTACAACCAAATCTTGATGCACCCATCTGACCAGGAGCACACCTCCTTCATTACCGACCGAGGTACCTACCATTACCGTGTGATGCCATTTGGACTGAAAATGCTGGGGCCACCTACCAACGGTTGGTCAATGCTGTCTTCCATCATCAGATAGGTCGGAATCAAGAGCAAACTCTCCGCTGATCATCTGACCGACCTGCGAAAGACCTTCGCCACCCTACGAAAGTACCAAACGCAGCTCAACCTGGAGAAGTGCGCCTTTGGCGTAGAATCTGGGAAGTTTTTTGGGTTTCATGGTCAGTCAGCCGGGCATTGAAGCCAACCCTGAAAAGATCAAGGCCTTGATTGAAATGCAGTCACCCAGAACGGTTAAGGAGGTTCAAAGACTCACTGGTCGAGTTACCGCCCTCAATCGCTTCATCTCCCGCGCAACGGATAAGTGCCTCCCCTTCTTCAAAGTTCTTCGGCAAACTTTTGAATGGACGACCGAATCCGAAGAGGCTTTTCAGCAGTTGAAACAGTGCATGGCCAACCCCCCCCTCATTTCACAGGCAACCACAGGCAAACCCCTCTTCCTCTATTTAGCCGTGTCAAGCACCGCAGTCAGTGCAACGCTTATTAGGGAAGACGACTCTGTCCAACGGCCAGTCTACTACATCAGTCGGGCTCTCAGGGGAGCGGAGCAGAATTACCCACTGTTAGAAAAATTGTTCTTGGCCTTGGTCACCGCCCCTAGACAACTCCATTTTTACTTCCAAGCCCATTCCATAGTGGTCCTCACCGACCAACCCTTGAAGAAGGTAATGCAGCAACCAAACTCTCCGGCAGACTCATGCAGTGGTCAGTGGAACTCAACCAGTTTGACATCTCCTACCGACCTCGAACAACGATTAAGGGGCAGGCTGTCGCCGATTTCATCCTGGAATTCACTAATCCTACCCCAACCACGACCCTTCCACCCCCACCAACCCCTACTGACCCAGAAGACCCTCACTCTTGGACTCTTAACGTCGACGGGTCATCCCGCAGGGAAGGTAGTGGGGCTGGTCTCATCCTCACCGCCCCTAAGGGTGGTTATTTCAATTGTGCTCTCCGTTTCTTGTTCGAGGCTAGTAACAATGAGGCCGAGTATGAGGCATTGATAGCAGGTCTCTGCCTAGCCAGGGATATTGGTGTCAGCCACATCTAGGTGTTCAGCGACTCCCAGCTCATTGTCGGACAAATTATGGAGGAATTCGATGC